GCGCACGGCATTGAGTTGTAGGACATCAGCACCGCCAGGGGGTTCGCTCGGATAATGATCAGCCGTTGTCCTGCCACCACCAGGCCAAGTAGCAGCCTCACTGTTCCTACACGCGCACATGTACAGCCCTTGCGTCAATCCACTGCTGGACGAGGGCCTCCCCATGCCTCGCGGGTCGTGGGTTTTTTTTTACCATACATCACCATACTGGTCAGTGCGGATTGGTGAAAACGGGAATCATAAATGCGGGAGCATAGAAGGACAGTACAGTACAACAATGTATTTCGCTGCACTGACCCTCTGCTGCTCCCAAAAAAGCACACCGCGGCCCTCCTATGACTGACTAGGCAGGCTTTAAACCTGCTTAGCTTGCGATATTTTACGTGATCGTGCGAATTCCAGACGATTTTGATCAACGGCTTCCTTCATCATTAGACCTCCTTTGCCAGTACCAAAATATAATAATAGGGGTTTTCCCCTTTTTTTCTGGCAACAAAACTGAAACCTTTTTACACGGATTCATGTCTGCATTAACCACAATACCTGCAGTCAAAATGCAAACAAAAAACATACAATGATAATATATGCATTGTCCTTGAAACTGATTGGCCCACACCACGGGACGGCTTTCTTTTGAGCCTCGACCCAATTGGTGTTCGACCAGATGACGCCTACATCTTCCGCATGTGAAATCGCAACAAAAGTTTAACTTTTGTACCGACGTTCCAATTCGATAAGCAAGACTTTCAACGTCTGAGGAAGGAGTTGTGTGTTTTCAAGATCCACTGCACTTCAGCCTGACCTAACGAATGAGTTGCTTGCTTTGGCTAAATCAGTTCTGAAATAAAATAAAAACAAGTCAAAGGATGGAAAATAAATTAATGTAAAGAAATGGGTGGTGCAAGGTCAGGTCGAGGTGTGGGCGTTATAGTTTCCTTTCCTAAAATAGGTTTCCACTGAACTGGCAAAATGTGTTTTAATATAAACAATGACTCTCGAAATGGGTGAAATGAGCTCATGTGCACGTAGCAGTTACAGTGAGGGAAAAAAAGTATTTGATCCCCTGCTGATTTTGTGCATTTGCCCACTGACAAAGAAATGATCAGTCTATAATTTTAATGGTAGGTTTATTTGAACAGTGAGAGACAGAATAACAAATAGAAAATCCAGAAAAACGCAAGTCAAAAATGTTATAAATTTATTTGGATTTTAATGAGGGAAATAAGTATTTGACCCCCTCTCAATCAGAAATATTTCTGGCTCCCAGGTGTCTTTTATACAGGTAACGAGCTGAGATTAGGAGCACACTCTTAAAGGGAGTGCTCCTAATCTCAGCTTGTTACCTATATAAAAGACACCTGTCCACAGAAGCAATCAATCAATCATTCCAAACTTTCCACCATGGCCAAGACCAAAGAGCTCTCCAAGGATGTCAGGGACAAGATTGTAGACCTACACAAGGCTGGAATGGGCTACAAGACCATTCCCAAGCAGCTTGGTGAGAATGTGACAACAGTTGGTGCGATTATTCGCAAATGGAAGAAACACAAAAGAACTGTCAATCTCCCTCGGCCTGGGGCTCCATGCAAGATCTCACCTCGTGGAGTTGCAATGATCATGAGAACGGTGAGGAATCAGCCCAGAACTACACGGGAGGATCTTGTCAATGATCTCAAGGCAGCTGGGACCATAATCACCAAGAAAACAATTGGTAACACACTACGCCATGATGGACTGAAATCCTGCAGCACCCGCAAAGTCCCCCTGCTCAAGAAAGCACATATACATGCCCGTCTGAAGTTTGCCAATGAACATCTGAATGATTCAGAGGACAACTGGGTGAAAGTGTTGTGGTCAGATGAGACCAAAATGGAGCTCTTTGGCCTCAACTCAACTCGCCGTGTTTGGATGAGGAGGAATGCTGCCTATGACCCCAAGAACACCATCCCCACCGTCAAACATGGAGGTGGAAACATTAGGCTTTGGGGGTGTTTTTTCTGCTAAGGGGACAGGACAACTTCACAGCATCAAAGGGACGATGGACGGGGCCATGTACCGTCAAATCTTGGGTGAGAACCTCCTTCCCTCAGCCAGGGCATTGAAAATGGGTCGTGAATGGGTATTCCAGCATGACAATGACCCAAAACACATGGCCAAGGCAACAAAGGAGTGGCTCAAGAAGAAGCACATAAAGGTCCTGGAGTGGCCTCGCCAGTCTCCAGACCTTAATCCCATAGAAAATGTGGAGGGAGCTGAAGGTTCGAGTTGGCAAACGTCAGCCTCGAAACCTTAATGACTTGGAGAAGATATGCAAAGAGGAGTGGGACAAAATCCCTCCTGAGATGTGTGCAAACATGGTGGCCAACTACAAGAAACGTCTGACCTCTGTGATTGCCAACAAGGGTTTTGCCACCAAGTACTAAGTCATGTTTTGCAGCGGGGTCAAATACTTATTTCCCTCATTAAAATGCAAATCAATTTATAACATTTTTGACATGCGTTTTCCTGGATTTTTTTGTTGTTATTCTGTGTCTCACTGTTCAAATAAACTTACCATTAAAATTATAGAATGATCATTTCTTTGTCAGTGGGCAAACGTACAAAATCAGCAGGGGATCAAATACTTTTTTCCCTCACTGTACACTGTTAAATCGCTCGACCGTGAGAGATCGCGACAGCTCGGGAAGGATTTCATTCAGCAGTGGATACATTGTGGATGATGGCACTATAATGTATAAAGTTACGTTAAAATAATAGAATTACACGTTTCATTTGGGCACGTTTTATTTACTAATTGATTTTTTTAACACATAAATGGATATATATTAACTGGACTTTACGGAATTCACTTCCAACGCCTCTCGTTCTCCCACGAGTACCATAAATGTCGCAGACTGCAATTACTCACGCTCATTAAATTTACAATTAAACTCGACAAGTGCCTCCGTCAATTATCTTGACAAGGTAACTCACCGATTCAATCATTTTGTGCCGCGCCCATTCAATTAATTATGATCAAACAGCTCCCACGGCACGCACGGCACGGGGAGGCTCTCATCCACCAGCGGATTGTCTCTGCCAGTCAACCGTCTGTTGTCCATCACCTTGACAGAGGCATCTCGTTGAGGGCACTTAATCCGATACGTCCGTCACTCCCTTCGTCTCACGTCCGGCATGGTGTTGTGCTATGTCCCGGCATAACAAGGTGCACATGTAATAGATGGTTTAAATAGCAGTGGCATTTTATTGACTAGTTTCTAAATCGATTACGATTACATTCTAGTGCTGTAAATCATCTTGTTTCCTTTGCTGCTTCTTCGCAGCATTTTCCCCACTCGTGTGACATCTGCAATCCTGGAAGTTTTTCCCCAAACATTCCACTCCAAGGCCATCTCCTTCACAATCCATGTAAATAATGAAACTTGTTCATTTAAAATTACTCTGATAAACTTCAAATCTAGATTTTACTCTGATAATATTTTTTTAAGTACTAACAATTAAAGGAATACCCATTTACACAAAAATGAGAAAATGCATTCTCACGAGACCTGGCTCCCATCACAGGTTTTACATATTTCAGAGTTACAGGATCACATGCGGGAAAGCAATTCTATGCCAACAATGAAGTGATGCGTGCTATTAATGAGTGTTTGATTAGTAAGACACTGCGTCCTTCTGGGCCAGGGTTAAAGCCGTGGAACCTCGATGGACCATGTATTTTGCATCTCAAGAGGACCATGCAGAAATTCGTTTTTTTGTTCCAGTCATTGCTCTCTATGTCGGGCTACGGACATGTAATTACCCCTCATTAGGCAACATTCCATCCTTGTGTTATTAAGAGAATAACACAGCGATGTTATTCTAAGATAATAACACGACTATTCTAAGAGAATAACACGACTAAGGTAAAAAAAAACATGTGCAAACGTCATCAATTAAACCCCACAACCTGCACAGCATGCGGAAACCCTACATCCAGCAGTGGATTAACAAAAGGGCCGCTACATGTACACATAGACAACTTCTATGTGATACTAATGTCAACCACAACTACGTTGCTGCACTTATATTTATTTGCACGTGCGTTCATCGCAGTGGAGTTCAGACATTAATATAATCCACGTTTTGGCTCTCATCCTGATACCCTAAAATAACCACCATGTGCAATGGCAAGAGATTATTCAACACCCATTTATTCAACATTTCGACCTTGTCTAATGCCAGGGTTGAGGAGGCCACGGGGGGGTGGGGGTCTTGTTTCAATCAGTGTATAAAAGCAGCACACCCTCGCCGACTCATTGACAATAGGTCTTCCCTTGCCAGGAAACTGGGCTTGGGAGGGGTGCAGGGAACAGCAGGAAAGCAAACAGACGCCAGTGAGATCATGTTTGGACTTTTGCAATGCACGAGGATAAGTTGTTTTCCATGCACTCTTCACCGTGTTTAGCAAAACATCAACATCTCCAACCCCATACTAATGGAAAACGATAATCGTGTTCGAGTAATCTAAACGTCTGCCTGTACATTGAATAAGATAAACAAAATGAGGAGTTAACAAAGCACATTATTAAATTGACATACAAAGCACAATGACCCTTTTCAATCATTCCAGACTACCCTGTACAAGGGCACAAAGCACAAAACGTGGTGCCATTGATGCGTCTCATCATGGCCTCGTGGTTATTACCAGCACATGATTATCACTGGCAGGCACAGATTATAATAACCAATTTGTACCAACCCGATCCAGTGTTTGCTTGTAATGAACCACTACGTGTATGCGCTCCCAAAAGACCATTGTGCTGATGGGTTGTGTAAGGAATAGTTTAATTTCGATGCGTGAAGGATGCATATTGTCAGCTTTATTTATGTTATGCCATTTATATTCTCCTCAACGAGGGTCTTGATTATCTTGCGCAAATGTGTACCAAAGATGTGTGGGGTTTTTTTTTGTATATCAGTGAGCTTCGAAATAACTCAACTGAAATTCCAACGCTTACCTCCTGCTCGATCAATTTGTCGTGTGGCGCGCCCTGGTGTCAACGTGGTGCGATGCATTTAATCAGCCAGCCGTGTGCGTTCGGGGGGACGAGTGAGAGACGGGCACGGCTTTACCGCATCCAAGAACACCGTCGTCCCCAAGACCGCAGCTCAGCTTGGTCTTCACCAAGCACTCGTCTCGTCTCGCACCCACAGCTCGACAGGGTCCGACTGCCACACAGGCGCCACCTTTGCTCGCTTGCTGCACCCAGGAGGCCCAGGCCGCTTCGGAACCTGATGATGAGCAGCTGTGGAAAAAAGAGCTTTATGGCTCATCGGATTCCTCCTGTATGAATTTCATCTGATTCTGATCCTGAGCATGGGGGCTCTTGCAAACCACGGCACCGAAGATCAAAGCAACATGTACAGCAGTATGGCAATATATATATCTGTGACAGAGAGTTCAATTGGGGTTGGAAGTGCGTGGACCTAAACCTAGAGTGATTCGCGTAGCATAGGTGCCCCGCGAACATACTTGTGCCGTTGTCATAGGGAGAAATTATATCGAGAGAAAAAGCACAGTTGAATTCAAAGCCTCTCTACATGCCTCCCTCCCACCAATGCCGACACACTCATGACATATGTTACCGGTCTCCTCTGTGAGACATGGAGCCACCGCGCTCACGATATTCAATCATACCTGCTGAGAATCATCTCGAAGAGGGTCACCATAAATCAGTGGGCTTCACTGCACACATGTGCCACCCTGTGGTTTACAGTGAATTGGCGCGGCTCTGGGATACATGCAGTCGATTAAAAGGCAGAGGACACGATGGCAATCTGTAAATGTAACAACAACAAATCAAGTCGATTGCTGCGGCTGCAATTGTCAGACGCAGATTTACAAACGTAAACGTTTGTCGGTCCGCTGCTGGACGAAGGTTTCCCCACGCCGTGTTGGTGCTGGTGATGGGGATTTGTTTTGACCATACTTCACCGCCCTGGTCAGTGCCGGGTGGCGAAGGGGTGGGAGCCATCACGGGTTGACAGATCCGATCATTCGCCACTGAAGTTAGTTAGCCTGAGCCGCCATACTCTGGAAATAGAACTCGGGTCGCTAACCACTGTGTCACCACTCGCTGATTAACATAGTTAAATAGAGTATTAAAACAATATATATCTTTAGCCAAATAATACCTAACCGAAGACATCCAATTGATTTTAAAACATTAACTAACAGTGGTTTACATTCCGCTGTTACTGCGGTGACACGTTCAGACAATTTGCCAATTAAATGGTTGATCCGTTTTATGGAGACCCCATTGGTTCCTTACGGCCCTCTTACTTTCTTCTCAACTGATGCTTCACGACTGTATTGTGAACGCAACGGCTCCATATTTTATATGGAGTGTTCAAATATGTATCAGGTATACTGTGTGTGTATATAGGTGAGAAACAGAGGGAGGCTTTGAAATAAAATGTAACAATTTCTGCGTGCAATCCCGCTGCCACTGTTTTATTGGAGTGACTATAAATGGATTGCCTGTTTTTTAGCGAATTGCACATTGAGAATAGGGTTTCCCCTTTTTGCTGGCAACAAAACAGGTGTTAAGATGTTAAAACACCAAACTGAAACCTTTTACAAGGAATCATATCTACATTTAACACCGTTTGAGACTAGGCTCGAAAGAAAGTTGTCTCTGGTGTGGACCAATCAGTTTCAAAGACAATGCATCATCATCATCATATACTATCAGAGTATGTTTTTTGTTTGTATTCTGACCACAAGAAGTATTGTGGTTAATGGTACTGATGTAAATTACACATTGATTTTGAAATTCTGTTTCGTAATCGGGTCGGCAGATGGCAGTACAGCATAGGGTAATTTGACGAATTCACATTTAACACAAGTGATTTGTGGCCGTGCAGTATTGTGAAGCATGTAACCCCGCCTCCTCTCTCCACTCCAATGACTCGATGCAATGATGAATTCCTATTGTCTCGTTTTCACTCGCTCATTTCTATTTCCTCGGCTTTTGTTTCTGTCTTTGAGTTCAGTCTCGTTCCCTAAAACTCAACATCTTATTTTACCAGGTAAGGCCCACTGAGCTCTAAAACTATTTTTGGTCAAAAATGACAGCTCAATTAAGTGGTTTATCGCGTGGAAGCTTATAGCAGCCAAATACTCTGAACGCATGCTGATTATACATATAGGGGGGGGGGGGGGAAACCGGAGGACCCGAAGAAAAATCTACACGAGCCACGGGGAGAGAGAGAGAACATGCAAACTCCAAATATACAGCAGGTGGGATCGGACCCACGACCTCCTGCATACCAGGTGAGGTAGTTAACATCTCGCCACCGTGACGCCCGACTTATGTAAGCCCCGTAACCCAGCACTGTGGAGCCAAGGGGTTGGTGGATCGCAAAAGTGTTTAGAAACTCTCTGCTCGCGGGCATCGAGAAAGTTGTCATAACCCTAGCTCGCCAGGAGAAGGCGGTAGAGCTCAAATGTGGACTCCACCTGCTCCGTCTATATGGGCTCGAGTGTTTCCCCCTCGCACACGTCTGTGTTCCCCAGATGCTCCAGTTTCCGCCCACATGTGAAACACCCATTAAATGGCCGGCAACACCTTGATACATAGAGGACCACAGAACTTGGGCAAGTTTGGCAGCCTGCTCATCGCGTGGCTGCGTTCCTGCTTGTCTGTGATTTCCCACGCCTCCGAGTCGTTATCTATACGAGCAAGTGGATACTGTGTTGCGTTACAGGTTAAATTTATCGTGAGTAACATTGACTTATGAATATAATTTGCTGAAATTAAGAGCACTATCAGAATCTGATGCGCAGAATTTCATGCATGTATCGTGTCCGTTATATCTGTTGTAATCGATTCGTTAATTGATCATTATTGTGCATATTCACGTGACTCCGTCAGAGACAAAGCTCTTCATTGGACGTAATTGTTCACGAAAATATGTTTTTGGATAGCTTGTTTCATAGTGATGGGTTGGACATTAACAGCAGTGTGCCCTGAGTTAAATACAGTCGTCATGTATAAATGACCATCTCACACGACCTCGTGGTCACGCAATCCGTCCACCTGTCACACACCAGAGAAGATTCTGTCACCCCCTGTCTGCGGTGTACGTCCTCTGGGTGGTGTGTGGTCTCTCCTTCGGTTGCCACTCCGTTGTTAGTTATCACTGTTGTCCATCACCCCGTCGAGTTACGTGTCCTGCCCGATCAACAAGAGACCACAAAGTTGCATTTGTTCTCTGATCCACGTGTTCCTCGCCTGTCTATCAGTCTAATTCCAAGCATTGGCATGCATCCTTGCGTACTTTTCAGCTTTTCTTACATTCTTCTTGTCGGTGTCCATATTTCCAACTGAATGCAAACTTTATCCTGTAGGCACATTACGGTATTTTGTCATTATCAAGTTCTATTTTCCAAAAGCACTCAACCCTGTTCTCACTCCAGCTTTATTTCATCCTTTGAACCCAGTCCGCCAGTAATTGCCCGAGGTATGGATACTATGACGTGGCATCCAGTGGTGTCACCGCTAACATGTGTCCATTTGGTTAGCGAACTTCTTACACCTGGCTTTAATTTTACTTGTGTTTATCTTGAGCTGAACCTGCAATTTCTTTATTGCGTATTTCAGTTTCTATAATTATATTTACATTTGTAATTATAATAACGACGATGTCACCAGCAAAACTGAGATGGTTGATAATTTCTCCATTCATATATACCGTATTTTTTTTTATCTAATTCTGGAAAACGTTCTAATATCATTGAATAACTCTGGCGTAGAGTGTCCTTTTGCCTGACTCTCCTTCTGATATGTAATGCTACTTTAGGCAATCTTCGTGTTCCATTATATAAATCCATTTTGTCAAGCCTTTCTAAATTATATTTTCTTTAAGCATCGGTTTGTGACAGCTCTGATGACTTCATCAATTTCCACTCAATCAAATACATTCTCATAGTCTGATTGATATGTGGGACACATAATGCTTTTAATATTATATAGGAGACGAGTGATTCTGTAATTGTTCAAGTTAGTTAGCCTCCATTTATGAAGAAGAATGGGAGATTATTACATGATTGAGGTATTGCATTTCTATCCAAACGTCCAGTAAATAGGTCCGCAAATGTTTCTCAAAAAGCAGGTCAATTCTGTGTTGGTGTCCACAGTTATTCCAAAATAGTCCAGGAGCTTTCATTTTTTAATACTGCAAAGTATTAAAATTTTCAAGCATGATCCCTCTGGTACATGTTTCTCTTCATCTAAAATGTAATTTGGTTTATGGTTTAAAAACAAGTAACTTTAAATTTATTTTAAAACTAAAACTTCGCTAAACATAAGACATAAACAGAAAACAATTAAGATGTGTTAATTATCAAATGGGTTATGTTTAAATCAGATTGGACAAGCATCATACATGATGTTAATCGGTGTTATAGATAATGCCATCCTAAAAACCGTGGCAAATGTATTGGATGCTAATTAATTTACCTAGTGAGGCAAATTTAACACAATGACAATATGACAAAAATAATATGAAACAGTTAATTATAATCGCAAGGCAAATCTTGCTGCCGTCAAACGAGAACTAATATCATGGGAGATATCTTTGTACAACAAACCAATTCGTTTTCTGTAGCTTACAATTAAAATATGCAGGTATTAACAGAATGCAATACAGTTGTGCACATGCACAGTGCTCAGCTCGTTGCCACGCATGGCATGCGGCGTTGTCCACCCGGAAAAAAACCCAGCAATTCTTGCCGGAATGTCACCGCAATCTCAAACTGCGTGTTTATTTTAGCATCTCACAAGCTGACGCGGAAAGGAATGGCGGAGAGGGATGGCGGAGAGGGATGGGGAAGAAGCAGACCAGCCCTGAAAGCTTCCCGTGGAAATTGCAACTAGCGGTTCGATGACAACCCACACCAACCACCACTACTGCCCAACTACTGTGATACACTGGCTGCCACATTGCTGAAGCTGCTGCTGCTGCTGCAGCTGCTATGCGTGTTGGGGCGGCGGCGGCGGCGGGAGGGGGACGAGCGCGCTTTCGTTGCAATACTTACGGTAAGATATGGCAAGCGGTGACAAGAGGAAATTGCCAGGAAGGCGGTCTGATGCCCGAGTCGCACTGTATTAGCTACAGATTTCTTTCCAGCCGTTTCGGCCGCCCAGAGTCGTGCGTCACAACGCAACGGGGCTGGCTCCCGAATAAACGGGGCCCTTCCGACCCGCTCAGAGTCCCGCCCACAGATTCAGCACCCCGGACAGCAGGCGCTACGGTGCCACCCCAGCCGGAGGCGCCCCTCATGCTGAACGACAATGCCGCTGCCTTGGCGGCGGCGGTGGTGGTGGTCTGCGTCTCAACTTGACGAGGAGCTCAGCCAGTTGTAAAAGCTGCGCGGGCCCAGCAGTCTCGTCTAAGGTCAAGATTCGCGGAAATGAAAGGCGAAATATCCCGTTGAAGGTAACAAACAAAAACCCCATAAGCGGTGGTATGTATGTGCTGTAGGGTATATAACGTGGACGTGCCATGTGGCTAGATAGCATGCCGGGTACGCGCGCGTCTGTGTCAAATGGGTTTTTATTGTCTATTTGTCTTCTGCTGTGGCTTACACTCAGCAGTACTGTATGTGTGCCGTGTGGATGGCGTATCAAATAACTTGCACTGAGACCGCTCGGTCCAGCATTGTTTAATTGCCGCTCAATGCACGCATTGGTTCAGTACGGATATATATAAACAGTCTTTAGGAATGTCATTGTTTTGCGTTTTCAGTCATCTACTAAATCTATCCAACTTTTAAACAGCTAATGAATACAAGTTAATTTCAATGCTATCGTTTGTTTACATATCTGTATTTGAAGCTTTCGTGACTGCAGGAATCCATACTCTTTGGTTCTTTCGGTAAAGTCACGTAGTAGGTATAATTTATTTACCTACGTGACTTTACCGAAATAACCAAAGAGTATATATATGTCTTTAAAGACGAATATGCAATACTGTGTGTAAAGTGAACAAAAGTCAATCGTTGCAGTGCCCTTCTATGCCCTCGTCTCAATCATCGCTCGCTGCCTTCTCTGCACTGACCAGCGTGGAGAGGTATGGTCAATTGACCCCGATGACCCACGTGGTGTAGGGTGACTATCGTATAGCAGTGGGTTGACAAAGGGCTGCACATGTACTGTACACTAAATCTATGCAATTAAACAATCTGCATTATATCGGCAGTACTTCATATCGCGTGAAAATAATTCATATTTATGGGATACGGCCCAAACTGCCACATCTCAAAACTGTCAAAGCAAGTGCTATAATACAGTCTTATGGGGGAACAATGCTATTCAAAAGCTGTCAGCCGTGTAATGTGCAGTGAAATCATGTCAAAGTGCACCAACAACAAAGTTTTATTTTCTTTTTTTCTTTCAATTCTCACTTGCACAGGAGAGGAAATTGTGTGCGCGGAGAGGTCATCGGTGCAGCCCAGTCTAGGGGCAGGGGGGTTGCATAAAAACCGTGGCTCAAAGGGAACCGAGACACATCCCAGAGTGGCGCTGCGAAACCCACCGATGAACGAGCGCGACGCAATGGGCTCTCGGCCCACCGGCGAGCGGCCAGGCAAGGCCCCCACCTACACGGGCGACAAGAAAGCCAAGCTCGCCGCCAAGACGAACCGCAAGTGGGTGCGGCTGGCGACGGTTTTCGCCTACGTCCTCTCCGTCTCGTCGGCCGCGATCGTGCTGGCCGTTTACTACTGCATCTTCTGGAAGCCCGTCAACGTCCCGGCGGACGGGGCGATCGTCCCCAAAGCCACCGCGGCGGCACCGGTGGGCGGCGCGGGCACCGTCGTGCCGAGCGCGCCGGTCCCCGACGGTCGTGGGGAGACGTCCCGCGCCGCGCCGCCGGTAGTCGGCCCGGCCAGCGCCGCCGAGACGTCCGCCGGGACTCGAACGGAGCGCCGGCACTTGCACGGCGAGGACACGGAAGGAAGATCGGATCACTTTGGAAAGAGCACCCTCTTGGATTACTACACGTCTCCGTTGCCCTTGGAGGACGCGGCCGCAGAGCAGCGTTACAGCACGGAGCCACATTGGTCAAGTGGGAAGAAGGACGACTATAATTAACCAACACACCTGGGCACAAAGACTACGTTTGGCTTCTATCTTAGTTTGGGCCAATGCTTCGCGTTGCCCCTAGCTCAACGACATATCTAGAAATGTCGGCATGGTGTGCGCGATATTTAACCACGGTGTTACCAGTTACGTCGGCGTACAACGATGCTTCGCTTGATTTTTTTTCCTGGTAAGCAAGGCCCCCATCACATGGCTTTGATGAGCCCGTGAGCTCATATGTCGCAGGTACAAACACGGCGCAGACACACGCCAGAGTGCGGGGGCCATCTGCGGCAACCGGGTTGGGGATGCGCTCTAAGCGTACGTGGAAGTGCTTTTTCAAGTAGAAACCCATAACCTGGGAGTGGGCGCGGCAAAATGCGTGATGATTAAAAAGGGCAAAATATTTACTGTTACTTTTTTAAAATGTATACGTCTAGAAAACAACCTGAAGAAAACATTTTCAATAACTTTAGTAGGTGAATGTCACTCGTTTGTCCTTGCTTCCTTAACCAAGTAACAACGTGTTTCCCCTGTCTTGCGTTTCACAAGTTTACAAAACAACACGACACTTTGAATGTTGATCATCGTGTTCGAGTTCTCCTGCCTGTCACACAAGCCTCTCCAGAAAGCGACCCGTGATAAACAGTTAAAATCAAGATTTCATTGGTCATTGGGATATGGGGATCAAACATCTCGGAAGTGCTTCTTTTAGAAAATAACGTGGGTTTTTCTTCAATAAAAGGGATGTAACAAAGATACACTTAAAACGGTTGTCCAAATATATAGAGTTGTGGTTGTGTGCAATATATGACCTGAAATTCGTTGTTTATGGGACCGGAATTTCGTCAGAAAGCCATTAAAACTAAATTTGCTTCAAAGAACAAGGAGTTGTGTTGAAGACGTATAAGCACAGACCCGACTGGATGACGTTATGTAGCAAAACAGTTAATAATGGTAACCGGGTATGTCCTTCATAAATGGGAAATAAAAGATGAACCAGAGTGCGATTGTTGGCCATGCAACCAACACTCTGGGCCATATAGAAACCCACTGCAGTCTACGCTCCTTCAACAGAGGAATAGCAAAACTACACGAACTCTCTCCTGAAGCCCTCTTGTCGTGGCCAGCAGACTTCGACATTGGCCATTTAGCTCCTAAACACAATGCCATGCGCAGGAACAGAATAGTGACTGGGTATGGCTGACGTATTGCTCATCTTAAACATTGCTGAACACTATATCTACAGAATGGTTCCTAAGTATTGTACAGTATTTTAGTTCCTTCAGAATGTATTCCAGGTTCTTACTAACCTAGTGTAACCCATGACATTGTAATACTGTATTTTATTTCTCCTAACTCCATTCAACATCCATTTTAAAAGCAGAATATCTGCACGTACTGACATAAGTAAAATGACCAATAATGTTGCAAATGTAGTATTTTTGTTGCATTTACGGATGTTTACGAAATTGTAGATTATTTCCATAGGGTGTTAATAGATTAAAACATGGTAAACAACATGCGTCCACATTGGTTTATAATAACATTCCATTCCATCATATTAATAATAGAGTACATTAATCTGACTGGTATAGGTAGTGGAAGTATTAACATTACAAAGTGTTCCTTTTCTGAGAAAGTATCTGACATTTTCCCCCTTTTTAACTGTATCATCTATGACCAACTGCATACATGTACAGCCTGTCAAATCTAAAGTGACTTTTTCACACCTTGACACACTATTACCCAACCAGCCTCAATAAAATCCAAGTGTATGTTGACAAATGACAAACAAAAACTTGAGCCAATTTTAAGTTTATTTGCCAAAATAGCCATTCAAAATATTTGTCGCAAAACACTAGCTCTTGAAATTAATAAGGAAGAGTGCAATCTCATTTGTGATTTGGAGACAATTAGCATTGTCTTGCAAGGCCCTCTTGGAGATACGCTGGATTTCCATAAAAATAATCAGCCTATTAGAATTTTAAACTTGCTGTTTTTATTCAAATATATGTTTTCCAAGATGGATGGATGTTTAACAGTTTAACACGTAGGAGGCTTTCGCGACCAATATCATCCATAAGAGGGTTTTGGCATGTTCTGTTTATGTGACAACCCTTACTAGTTCGCTGTGTCGGGTGGTGGCGGGTTTTAACGACACATTTACATATTTACGCCTTAGGGATGGATGTGTTTCTCCCAAACAGCCACCGCTTGTCTCGTGTACTGTACTGCAATTAATGATTTCTGTTTACATTAGCACCCTGATTATAACCGTCTATTATTGAATGGAATTTTGTCAAGTGTAGCCTATTTAAACTTCGAACTTATTCACTGCATCCCGAATGCATTTATTCGATCATATATCGAGCACGTGTACATTTTGTTTCCCGTTTGTGAGCAGGCTGGGTCTCTTCGGAAGAACACAATGAAAGGCAACATTTATCTATGTATTTTATCATCCAAATGCAACCACATCTACAGGTGCTGGACAGAACAAGTGGGCGTGTTTGTTGTGTCGAGGTAAAGAGGAAGCCAGTCATAGGCAGAGGAAAAAGAGGATGATTTTGAGCCTGGACTTGAACAGGGGTAGGGAATCGATATAACTGACGAACTGGGAAAGAGAGTTGCTATGGTGGTAGCGGAGGATAGTGAGCAACTTCCCACTGAGTGATAGTTCACGGGGGGATTTGACAGAAAACATTGGTTACTGGAGCGGTGCGTGTGTGGAGGAGAGGAGAGTAAGATACAACGGTAGAGGTAGGTAGGGAGGGAGCCCAAAGAGATGTTGAGTGTGATCTTGAAATTGATCCAGTATTGCTTTAGGAGCCGGTGGGATGATTAGAATATATGTGTGACGTCTCACTTGCGGATTATGGCGAGAAGCCTGGCAGTAATATTTTAGATCGTGTGGAGTTTAGAGATCAGATATTTGGAGAGGATGTAAAAGACAGTTTTCGGGAGTCAAATCGGGACGTGACGGGGGTCGGGTCTCGGCAGAAGCTGGGTTAAGGAGATAGTGGGTGCCGGAGAGGTTACGCAAATGGATGTGTGAGATCCTGGAGAGTTGAGATATGTGGAATGGGAATAATAGCAGCTTAGGATCTATAACAACTCCAAGGCTCTGCACTCTTTTCCAATTTAATGTCAAGAATTTGAGAGGTGCACACTAAAACTGGAGTCCACTGAAAGTGAACTTCTTTGTCCGATGAGGAGGACATCAATTCGCCAACGTTTATTTGGAGAACGTTAGAACATATTCAACACGAGACCATGTCAAAGCAGGATGTGAGAGTGGCCAGTGAAGTTCAATACGTGGAGTTAGATGTACAGATTACAATTACCAATGCAAGTGACGGCCGACATTAAAAGTGGATATGATCTTGCCAAGTGGGAGGCGATGTACTGATATGAGCAGGGGGCTTTGGATGGAGTCTTGCGTGGATGCCTAAGCACAGGGATTTTAGAGAGGGAGACAGTTGATTTGAAGCTTTAGTGACTGCAGGAATCCATACTCTTTGGTTCTTTCGGTAAAGTCACGTAGGTAGAAAAATAATAGAGCACGATGTTCCGATCGCAACACAAGCAATCGCCTACTTCAGCAGTTTGTTCTTGCTGTGGTTATCTCACCTGATGACGATTGCTTGTTGCGATCGAAACGTCGTGATCTATTATTTTTCGACCTACGTGACTTTACCGGAAGAACCAAAGAGTAGGAAGACAGTTCTCGTCTGAAAATGTAAAAGTAGCAGTTTGAGAGGTGAGAGTCGACCCGGGAGACGAAGTGTGTCAGAGATGCCTGCATTGTTGTGCGGAGACACTCAAGGAGGATGGAGAAGTCCATGATGTAAAAAGCAGAAGAAATAGTCTTGAATGACTAGGAGTGAGAATGATCCACGGTCCGAGGAGAGAAGACGACCGCTTACCACATGTAGGAGAATAGTCTCTGGAGAATTGCCTTGGTAAAGGCGGAGTTTCCTGGGTCGTGGGGACCTCAGGAGGGGAGGTGTTTGGAGAGATATGAAAGAAACCCCGATCTGCCCACTTTTTTTTAAGAATAGGGAGGTTTTGAGACGGGGTGGAAATTGGCAATGATGTTGGCATCCAGTGTGTTTTTATTTCAGGTTGTGAATAACAGCAGCAGCATGCTTGAGAGCTGGGGGGATATAAACAGATGAAATGGAGGCATTGACAAAGCTGGTGATATCCGGGCCCGGGGTGGGTAAGGAGTGAGGGATGTGTTTGGTAGACACATTACTGAGGAAGTTTTTTGGGGGTTGTGTTTTTTTGTGTGATATTTATGATGAAATGTTGGCAGATGTCAGGGGTATGTGGTTTTGAGACGGGAAAAGGCAATAGGAGGAACAGAGTCAGACCACACGATGCCATTCCGTAATTTTCCTGACTTTTCCATGGAAACAGGCCCAGAGTTTTTCGTACTTGGCCACTGAAGGAGTAAATGACGAAACTGAGTTCCATAAAAGCCAGAGGGAGTTGACTGGAACTGAAGAGGGATTGAGGGTTTCCAGGACTATTTGCGATGACAGTAGAAAGAAAGAAAAAAACATGTTTATCCTTCCTATTTATTTTCCAAACAAGGTTTACATTTTTTTATTATTAACCAGCGCGATTCTAATAAAAAAAAATTAACCTGGTAAAATGAGGATAGGCTTGCTGCATGTGGCACAGGTTGCTCCAAAGTGGCAGCAATGCTTTTCAACTGTAAGTGTTTTAAGTCGCAATCGCTGCGGTAATCGCTTCTCGATTATCACGCTCGACATCTCTGTAGGCAGAGCTTCTTAACTCGTTGGTAAAAGGTGACCGGCAAGCCACGTGCGATGCGTTGCCCGTTTGGACCACGTAGCATTGAGAGAGCCCCCATCGAAAACCCGACGTCTGTACAGCAGCTCTGCGCGGTTTCAAAAAATAGAACACGTGGCCGATTTTACGATGGTCAACTCGCAGCGGCATCGAAGCGACTTTCACAGTGGAACGAGCGAAGAGAAAAAAAAACTCCCAGCATTAATCGATCATTAACACTGCCTTAAAATTGGAAGCATAACGCAGGCTGATGTTTTGGGCAAAGAAAGTTGTCCTGTGGAGCTCTGAGACAACTGACAACTATTTTTTTTACAAAATTGATAAAACGAATGGTTTTGAATTTTGACGAGTAGTTATTTTTTTATATCAGTGGACATTCAGTGTTTCATTTCCCAGTTATAGATATTCGTAGGTACATGTAATAGCTCAGGGCACCACATTGGAAAAGTGTGATCTCCAACTGGAAAAAAAAACTCTGCATACTGTGCGTTTTAATGCCCTCTCCACATGCTCCGAAGAAGGGCGACTGCCCCACGCAACATGTACACAGGGTGCTTCGAGAAAAAGTCAACACTGACATGGGACTATCGTTTTAACATGATAACAAATGTAATGTTACTAGCTTCAAAAAGTAAAAAGAGTCTCCACTTGTTCGCCATCGTTGTCAACACGTGGCCTGGAATCTTCTCCAGGTGTCTTCCAGAGCCCGAAGGCAGCGGCACATGTCACGTGGTATTGTTGCAAATTCTCGGACGTGTCAACATTTTTTTGAAGCATCCTGTACTTATGTTCAATTACAGACAGTGTTAATGACGAATGTTGTGAGAGTTTTTTGTTATGCCACGTGCTTGTGTTGCACTATCCACACTCTGCCCCTAAATGTTTTGATTTAATGTTGAAACCATACTCAAGCACTGTACTGCCACAATAGATTAAAGAGTGTGTTTGTCCTTCACTCAATTGGTTTAACTAACATTACTCAGGCAAGTGTAATGAGAAGCCGAGAGGGTTCACGTGGGTGAGTGTATTATACATCTCATCCGTCAGGCATGCTTAAGCTGTAGGTTGTAGGAAGTAAGAGACAGTCAGAATCGACTTTTGAACGATGAATAAATCAACTACACCACTGACTAATCTATTACGCATTACACTTTGGTTCCATGTTAACGTAGCTATTTTCTTAAACGTTTTTTTTAATTGTACCTTGAAAGGTAATTAACGGTATAGAGTAAGCAAGCATTTTGGACAAAATGGCATTGCAAAGTGTTTATTATAATAACAAGTGAGTGGAAATGTGTGCTGCAATAATAATAAAACATAATCTAAACTTAAAAGAAGTGTGGCATCCATTTTATAGTTCCGTATGCAAGGAATCTTCAATAGGGCTTCGTATTCATTGCCCCAAAACCAATAACTTCGTACACATGTCTGAAGATGCAACATGCCCACGACCACAAAGCTTCCACACAAAAGCTTTTATCAAGGCCATCTCTGGAGTCTGTTCTGGCCCCTATGGACACCGCAATCATTATGGCCAGTCCTGGGACAATAACACGGTCAATAAGCCTCTTCTCTGCTCTAAAGCGACTGGAAGAGCGAGCACGATTCACAGCAAAACCACTCCAGGCTTCCAGGGGAAACGTGTAAACTCGAAGGTCACCACACTGAGTGTGATCAGCTGCGGGGGCCTCCTGCCATCCAGTGTCCTCTGCTCATGAAAAAAACAGCCTCTGTTGCTAAGTTGGGGTTAAAATGCAGAGATGGAAGCGTTGAAAACAAATCGCGTTCAGAGGTTGTGCTCGTCGAGCTCTCTGGTGTATTTTCGAGTTGTACCGCGTGTTGTACGGCACGATGTCTGACGTTTCAGCTCAACGTGCCTGGGGCTTCTTAAGGAACTGAATTGTTCAGTTATTTGATAGCACGTGGTACAACCAAAAGACACATCCGAGAGCAATACGTATGTGCCAAGTGACACCCTGAACACCCATACAAACGAGACCTTCCACCTCAAGCGATAATAATCAGGGTGAAATATTTGAATAAAAGAGACATTGGAGAGCCATGTGGTGTGCTATTCACGCATGGGGGTAAGGTGTACCGAATGCAGACACACTGGGACACACTTGAAGAAGCTCACGCACCTCCGTTTAGCACGGTTGGCTACATACGGTGCAATAGAAGTTCAACATACATACATACGTGGAGCGAAACGTCACAGACATCGTGCTGCACATCGCGGGGCACAACCAGAGATGACATCCGATGGTTTCGCTTACATTCACCAGATTTGATAGGAGCAGTACAGGAACTAGACAGCTGGGGCCAGTGTTCTTGGTTGCGAGGCTTGCTGGCCAATGACGCTCCCTCGTGGCCTTGAGTGCGGCCCCTGACGTTTGGTCCCCGACAATACACAAAGAGTGACCCCCCCCCCCCCATCGTCGTGCCGCTGTCAAACCCCACAATGGTTTCAAACGTGTGGCGGCCCCCACACTGATGACGGTTCTTATCGGCCAAAGTGGCCACCCCTCTGAAAATTAGTGAAGAAAACTGGCTTAGGCTGATCCAGCAACCTGATTATGTAATTCCTTGCATACAGTCCCAGCGTGGCTCCTACGACCACAGCCAAATCGCGTTTGGCCCTCATCGGGTCTAGAGAGTTGCGCAAGTTTCATCCAGACAGATTGAGCATTAAAAAAAACACCAAAGCAACTGAGCACGAAATGAAAGGAAGTGAGAAACAGCACTCTGATGATGATGATGAAGATAATAATAATGAATCGCAACAACAAGCTTCAACATCTTATCTAGCATCTGTGTGTTTTAACGGCGGTTATACAAAATAACTGTTGTGATCGTGGAGCAAAACTGCGCCACCGTTTTCTGAAACCAGCTAACGCTGGGAACTTTAGATGGTGACACTCTTCGGGGGAGGCATGATGAGGGGGCGGGGGGGTGTTTGTGATGTTCACCGTGCCCAACACCGTGGGGAGTGACTAATAAGACTCCCTGTCGACAAACTCATCTTCTCTCCCTCCAAAAACATAGTTGTAAACGTTAAGCCAGAACGTATACGTTTACAAACATGCTGCTTATATCATCAGCAGTAGCAGCGGTGATTCTGTATCCACTGCGAGATGAAGCCCTTCTCAAGTCACCTTTATCCCTGACATAATCATGATCCAACAATCCATTTAGCTTCTGCACATGTTCTTATCGCTCCATCTACTTGACGGTCATCTTCTCGGGCGTGCCGTCCCCGTTGGCTTCCACTCCTTTGATCGGTCTCAACAATCCCTTCCAGTGCTGTGTCCTGCCCAAGCGCCGCTCACTTTCATTAACGATCAATGACGTCTCCGGTTTGCGCCATCTCTCACAGTCCCACACTGTCACAATCTATTTCACTACTCCCGTGCATGATCTAATCTCATTGCTCCACGTCCGGCAGTGGTCTCTTTTGTTTGCAATTCCATCACAAGACTCCTGTATTGGCCAACGACTGCCCAAACCAACTTTCCTGAAGAGTCAATCTGTCTGTCAATAGAATTTCTCTTTCTCTAATCCATGTATTCCTCCTTCTCTCACTGTCATTCCAAGCAAGCGGCTCTCCATGCCTCTGTCCTCACCTTTTAGAATTTGTTCCATTTAATTTGTCAGTGTTCTATGTTTCCAAAGGTTGAAGACCTTAATTTAGAAGGCTGCAAATGTTGCGTTCAAGATAAACATGAGTAAAACAAAGGTTACATGTACAAGTTCGCGATATATATTGAAACAATATATTATTGAAGATGCACTACTGGAAATCACATCAGAGTATGTATACCTCTGGCAGTTATTAAGGGTGACCCGAAAACACAACGGTACAATTAAGAGGCAAGCGAGAGCAGGTTAGAGTGCTTTTGGAAAGCCTAACTTAATAATATTACGTACTATCCACGAACCATCAGTAAGCCTGGCCAGTGGGTTGTTGCATGATCAAGGCACCGCTGAAAGGACAGAGGGGACATCAGACAGAATCTGGCACTCGGTGAGAATCCAGCTGAGATCCGTGTCCTTGGCCACATTAGTCTAATTTCTCCCTCATTAGTCGTCTCTAAGCAGGCTGGCAGACATCGAGCAGCATCTCAATTAACTACAACAGCGAAAGTTCAGTTGCTGGGCCCCCCAACCGAAGCACAACCCCCGACCGAGAACAATGTTCAATATCAGTCAACAAAGTGTTCGCCATATCCTGCTGCTAGATTCAACGACGCGCAAAGACGTCCATTGCTCGTACAACAACAAAACCTCTCAGCCTTTTGCAGACCCCCCCCCCCCCCCCCAACAAAAAAAACGCAGCTTGTTTTGAACATCGTGTTGTTTTACCTCCAGCAACTCAAAAACAATTGAGAATTGCAGACTCCACGGGGTACAGAGCTGAGAGCTTTAGTCCACAAGCACTCTTGTACGCACGCGACACACATCTTTGTGCGTTGTTAACGCAATTCTTTTTTTCGGCCTGCGCTAATTTTTCCCCGTTGCGATGTTTTTTCCCTCTCTCGTCATTCACAGAAGTGTACTGTACCGCAGCAAGAGCGCAGGAGAAAAAATAAACATCAAACGTGATATAAAATATGACGTTGTCACGGCAAATTAGCTCAAGTACCCTTTCGAGATCGTGTTTTATCATTATTATTATCTTGCAACGGCAGCTTATAGAGAAATTACACGCAGGGCGATGTTTTGGAACAACAATGTCGGTGACAGCCATTGGAAAAAAAACTGGATCCATTTTTGGATACGCTGACCGTACCATCCGCCAAGCTGTTTCTCCCTCCATACAGAAACAACCACTTGATACTCCGATCAAAACCACCACACTACCATATATAGCAGGCGTTACTAAAAATATCTCCAAAATTATAAACAAACACAAGATCCTGGTCCGGTTCAATACAGTACACAAAATCCGTGACCTGATCCCTTCCGTGAAGGATGTCATTCCTGACTTACAGTACCCCGGAGTTTACAAATTGATCTGCACCTGTGGTGACTGCTATATCGGGGAGATGAAACGACATGTCTCTGACCGAATTCGCGAGCACAAATCAGATTTGAAACACGGCAGAACGAATTCTTCTGCCGTAGCTGATCACTGTTACAACGCTGTGGGTGATCACGATATAGTCTTCTCCGATACCAAGGTTCTCTGTAAACCCACGGGTTTCTATCAGAGATTTGTTCACGAGGCAATTCGATTTACAAACACAGACAAAATTTCAACCAAGAAGATGGTTTCAAATTAAGCAACCATTGGAAAGATGTTCTAAATCGAACCAAACGTTAAAGTGATTTTTAATGGTACAGTATGTTTATTCAATTAGTGGCATCCCAAACTCTCACGGTGGTGTTAATGTCTTTTTTATGCTAATTCCAAGCTTGCACAGCTTTACATTTTATGCTAATTCCTTTGTCAAGGCGTTTTTTTCTGTTTACCCCCTCACAGCTTAAAGGAGGCGACCTGCGCTTGACTTTCTTCACTCCAACGCTGTCCTCTGGACAGTTTGGTCCCTTCACCTGATGAAGGCCACTTGTGTTGTGGCCGAAATGTCGTGATTTTTGTTGTTTTGTTTTTTACCTACGTGACTTTACCGAATAGAACCAGAGAGTATGAATCCATTTTATTCACGAAGCGAGACGTTTTGACTACAGCGCGGGGAGACTCCAGTCATCATCAGTTTGAAAATCCCCCACAATCTCATTGGCCATAGACACAAAACCTTTCGAGAATAGTGAGAGGTTTGGTACAGAGCTGGAAAGTGATATTTAAGCCTATCACAATTGCACGGGAACTGTATTTATTTCCATGTTGCTCTGGCCTCTGCCAGCGAAGATAAAACTGACGAGAAGCTGCATTGAAATAAGCGAAGGATGAACCGAGTGTGTGACGTGTAGCCAATGCAAGGGCTTCTAACATGAAAACAATAAACACTTCCAGCCAAAATATGAAACCGTCCATATAATTATCACAAAACACGATATGAAATATAGTAGAAGAATATTAACGATACAATTGTTTTGAAACCCATGGGACCTGTGTATCGAAAGTGGAGCATTGTTTGACTGTGGCAGTTGGCATCACAATACAGACAAAACGTATTCTGATTTATTAAAATAGACATGTTTGTAAACATTGGCAGAGTGGCAGTCATTATTCCAAGTAATTGTGCATATAATTTTGGATTAATCTCCAGCCCTTTGTCAATCCAAATCTGGATGAAGGCCTCCCCACGTCTATCAGTCATGGGGGGTTTGTGATTATACTTCACCACACTGGTGAGCACAAGTTGTTGGAAAA